CAGAAACAATCATCGCTCTCTGACATCTGAACGGAAGAAATGACAATACGTGACTTTGTAATCAAAGTTCACATTTCACATCTCATCTTCGAAAAGAACGGAAAGTACGTGAAACTTTTCAAAATTCTCCTTCGATAAAATGTCGTAGATTTTTTGCACTTTTCAATTTCACGTCAATCGCAGTTTTGCGAATTAATACCAAGTTACAATTTTTTTAAACTAATGGCTGATGATGTTATTGCTTTGTTTTACGACATAGAATAATTGAGGAAAACTGCGGTTTTCTAAAAATAATTGTTTAAGGTTTGTTTCAAAAGATTTAAGATAATTTGGTACAATTTACGTAATAAAATAGTAGCAAACATACATTGTTTACAAAGAAAATTATATCGTGGGTTTTGTTAATTGAAACAGTTATCTATTCAAATAATGCTTTTTTCTGTCAAGGAACCAGCCAGTTTCAATTTTAATTGAATAATTTTAATGCAATTTGATCACATTCAAAAAAGACCCTAAGACAGGTAGCTAAACATTTTTTCAGTGAAGTTGACGCATGTGCGATATTTTTTTTTCACACAACACAATAGAATACTAGTATGCGAACATGTCATTGTATCTGATTTACAAATTACATTGTACGTATGCTGTCAGTTAATAACTTAACAATTGTGTTGTTGTATACCGCCATGACATTTAAAATTTTAAATAAGTAGGTAACGTCGCAAGAAACACGGAGGGGTGGAGTAATAATTGAGCACATCTGTTTATTTCATTTGTTTTAGAATTAATTGTTTTGATGATTATTATGACGTAAAATTGAAAGTAATAATTTAAATACATACCATTTTCATGTATTTTATTAGTTGCATAATTTAATAAAGAAAGCTATAGGTACTCGTATAGTGAAAAATTTAGTTGAAATTTAATCACGAGAGTAGCAAGTATTTCATAATATTACTGTTTTGGTCATTATAATAGAAGTATTTTAATTTAAAATTTTTGTTACCGTTTTTTATGATTATTGAGCATTATTATTGTTATTATTAAAATTTTTTTGACAGTCATGATTTCTATTTTGAATACTATCTGTTAGTAAACATTGGCACCTTTGCTTGCCACTGGACAAATGAGAAAAGTCAAATAATGTACCTACAAGGTGTTTCACATAACTTGACGAGCCAAACATAAATGCAACATAAAACACATTGCACATATGTTATGCATACAGTCTGATTCACCTACGATGACGAGTTTTCTAAAAACAAGGTGTAACACAAAATATGTTAAGAAAATATCGTCGAGTCATCTTTAATTCCTTACTATAGTAAAGTAGATATATAGATATCAACAGAATAACTGGTTGTTTGTTTTTCGTTTTGAAATTAAACAATATTTGTACGTGTTCCTTCTTCCCTAGCGTCTTAACGAAATACACTACAAAGTATTGTGTGTTGTATTTTATTTGTCTAAGCCTCAGGCTTGTCATCTCATCTGAATCAGTCCGTGTAATACATAATGTATTTTGTGTGGCATTTTTTTGGTACTACTTGTTTTCATATTAATGTGTATCAAGTAGGTTGTAGAAGTCTAAATACATCTTTAATTTAAAGGCCCATTCACACAAAAACTGTCATTAATGTCTTTCAGAACAAATTTAATCACATCAATAATGACAAAAATCGTTATGTTTGCTACCCCATGTTAATTACCTACATTGTTAATTTTAATCATTTTTAGCTACCTGAAGTACACATTTATTTAAAAAAATAATTTTTGGGGAAGATTGAGACTAGGATTGTTTGAATTGGTTGCTATCCCTTTCATCGACTACTTCGTTTCGATGCACATTAATTTGCAAACGACTTTAGTTCAGTTCGTATACAGGCTGTTTTAGAACTTGGGCCGCAGAGAAAAATGCCAAGTAAAATAAGATACCAGGAACATACAAAAAAATCTTAAAAAATACTATCTATATGTACAATCTGCTTCAGAAGTAATGACACAAAACTCGGCTCTCGAGCAGGTACGTTCGACCGTTTCAGATGGGATGGAGCCGATGGTCGGCAGTTGTCGGTTTTCCGGCATTGGGATGGGTCGATGGAGAGTTGACGAAAATTGATAAATAGTTTGCTCAAATTATTAAGAATTTTGACTATGAGTAATCACTTATCGCATTTGACTTGTTTTGAAAGGAATGCTCGTAAAATAATATTTGAAATGTTTCTTTAAAATTAAAAATTGATCTGATTCATGGTTTTGATGTCCAAAGTCACCATTTCACAAAATAATTAATTTATTGTTTTATTTACCAATAAATTTATTAATTAATGTAGAAGTTAAGGGTTGTTGCTTACTATTTATCAACTGTAAAGGATTTCATGTGATTTTGGTGAAATTTTTCACAGAATTCGAGTTGCGGCTTCATTTTCGATCAAATACAATTTTTACAGCAATTCCTAATATTCTAAGTCAAGGAGTGCGGTTTAAATTTATAGGGTGGCTCTAATTATGCCGCTGAGTTGGGTTTATCCCAGGCAAAAATTTGCCCTTAAGGGTGTTATTAGCCTGAAACCTTTTTGCCCTGTGTATTAGAATCCCGATAATAAACATAAAAAAAATTATAAGCAATAATAGCAGAGTAACAAAATTTCAGCTCACGTTTACTTAGGTAATTTGTTTTTTCTTTGCTTTTAAATTTTCAAAATTTTGGATAACATTGTCCATGTTTAGTTTTTAAGCGACATCGTATTCTATTGACAAAATGGACAAATTTGTAAGCCTTTTTTGGTTCATAGAGTTCCGTAAATAATTTTTATTAATTTTAATTTAGAAAAGGATATCTCCGCTGATGTGACGGTGACAGGCAGAGTTAAATACAGTAAAGAAGAAAAATTCTGCAGTTTTTTGTTTTTTATTGCATTGGCTTATAATAATTTATGTACACCTTTTAAAATTTTTTAAACTATTACTATTATTATTTTGGAAAGGGCCCTTTGTCCCAAGGGCCCCCCCGCGCCGCGGGCTTTTGCTGGTGGGTAGTTACGCCACTGTCCTCAACTCTCCATCGACCCATCCCAATGCCGGAAAACCGACAACTGCCGACCATCGGCTCCATCCCATCTAAAAACGGTCGAACGTGCCTGCTCGAAAGCCGAGTTTTGTGTCATTACTTCTGAAGCAGATTGTACATATACAGGGTGCGCCAGAACTCGCGCCCCAGACAGAATTTTTAAGTAAGGTTAGATACCAGAAACATAAAAAAATGTTTAAAAAATTGTATCTGTCAAAAAATTTTGACATTTATTTTTTGACATTTTTTTATGTTTATTTAATGATACTGATGATCTTGTATATGTTTTTTTTTTACAATTATTTAGTAAAGGTACAAAATCTTTGCCAATAAAAGCCACAAATAACGTTGAACAGAGTTACAATTTAGGATACAGCTTCCTTGTTTCCGCTTTTAATAGCCTATAGCAAAAAAACTTGAAAAATTATTTTTGCAACAGAAATAAATAGAGTCAAAGTGCAAACTTTAAACCCTCATAACTTCGAAATTTTTATAGATAAATTTTTTTCAACATTTTTTCTATGTTCCTGGTACCATACCTTATATGGCATTTTTCTCTGGGGCGCGAGTTCTGGTGCATCCCTGTATGTACATGTTTTTTTTTACTGTAGGCTATTACCAGAGGAAACGAAGCTGTATCCTGAATTATAACTATGTTTAACGTTGTTTGTGGCTTTTATTAGCAAAGTTTATGTACTTTTATTCTTCGACACTGTCAAAATTTACGGTTTTTCTCCCGTGTAAGGAAGTTTTGACAACTGTTTGGCATTTCTCAATACAAAACGTCAAATTATTTTTAACAGATTTAAAGCAAGTTTAAGCCTTGTTGACTCTAATTCGAAGAATAAAATGTTGTATTCCACTCGTTTGAGTGTAAATCGGACGCTTTATTCCACCTCGTGGATGGTAAACCACTCGTTACACTCGTGGTTTAAAAATCCACTCGGTCAAATAAAGAGTCCAATTTACACTCAAACTCGTCGAATAAATAACTATTACTGAATAATTATGTCAAAATTTTTTAAAAGTTTTGAAACACCGATAGTGCTATAAAAAATTTGATCATTTTTTCGAATGGAATTTTCTGAAATTTCATTTCGTTTTTAAATTCTGCAATTTCTTTTAAAATGTACCTACTAGGAAATTTATTTTTAACAAAGATTACATTTTTTCACATAATTGTAATTCTTATACCAAAGTTATTGTCAAAAAAATCAGTTTGTGAAAAAGATAGCAGTTTAAGCAAACGCCATTTGGTCCCACACTTTTTGTTTACTATGAATGTAGGTTTCAATACAACCTAAACCCTTGGTTAGTCGTACCAGCAAGAGTTGATATGACAAGCTCATATCATAGCATTTTGAAACAGATATTAAATATTTATACGACAACCAGATATAAAAGTATAGTGCTGTTTTGCTAAGTTTTGGAGTAATTATTATTAGTGCTGCCTTTAATCTAATTCAATTAAAATTTAAAGCCATATAGGAGCATGTTTAAATCCGCATTGCGTAAATCTTTTTAATTAAAATAAAGTAATGCTTTTTGTGCCCTACAAAAGAAAAATTTAATCTTTTAGCACAACCTCTTTGATCCATTAATCAAAAATAAAAATATGATCTTCCATTAATTCTTTTACGCACTCCCACCGTCTCGTCATCTCCACCTTTCGCGTATTTATCTCTTCGATTTTCGAATGTGTTTTAAAAGTGATGTATCACACACACCATGTGTTCCATTTAAATTTCCTCGAGGGCGGTTATCCTAAACTTCCGTCACACAATCCGCCCCTCGAAGCAATTTACTTTTCGCCCTTTCCGCCGCCGCCACCACCCCCGCTCGTCATTATCATCAGCGCGAGTATTGGAAACACGAAATGATACAGGTGTGTATGTTTGTGCAGCAGGTGCAATCAATCAAATCAACTTACCGTTTCTATTCTCGCTGTCGGCGGGCTTCATCTGGATGGGATGATGCATCTGCAACAGACAGAATATCATGAGTTAAGTGTCAGAACGGGGTGCTGCATTCGGAGCAGGGAACTAATGGGCCGTCGCGGCGCCCCGTAAACGGTGCAACGTGTCGTCATCTACCAACATCCCTCGATTCTCGATCAATTGATTTCGAGGGTGGCCGAACACGGGGTCCCTGACCGATGACCAACGAGCCAAAGAAAAAACTAATAAATCGGTTTTATACACGCGTGCAAAGCTTGTTTCAAATTTTTGTGTGATATTTAAACATTGGGATGAATTAGGAAAGAGACTTAGTTCTATGTCGAGAAAAAGAAATATGTTGATACATAATGACACCATTATTCGGCAAGGTGTTACGCCAGTGAATTAAAATATTCTCTTTTCTAAAATGATAAATTTGACTCTTCCTACTAAGTATAAAAAAAAAACAAGTTTTGTATTTCCTGTAAACAAATGAGGGAAGAAATTTTAAATATAATTTTAGCCGATAAAATTTGAAATTACTTTTTCCAACACTAACGTTTTAAACTGTTTCTATGGTGCATTTGTATGTTGCCGTTAAAATACGCTTCATGCATCTATAAAGTACGTCGTCAATAGCAACGAATCTTATGAGTCTATAAAATACGCTGATCCATATTTTTGTCAATTTTGATCTACTTTTGTATAATAATTTCTGTATTTAGTAAGATTTCTGATTCAACATTAGTGTTGGAATAAAATTGAAGACAACACAAGTTTCACGGTTTAAAAACCTCGGTCTATTAAATTCTCGTTCTCTAACGGTCGCTCGAATTTAAACTACATTCACCGGCAAAATTATCGCATATTTTTGAATTGAAATTTTTCTATGTCATCAATTTTAGTACTATTTCAGAACCATTTAGTCATTTTAAATCTTAAAATTTAAGTGATGCGATAATTATGCCGGTCAGTGTATGACCTCGATTTTTAAACTGTCTATAAAACTCTTGTTGTGTTAATAGCTATAAGACAAAAGTTTAATAGAAAATTGCATAACCCTATGGAAGAACCAATCTGAATTTAGTATTTAATATGATTCCCATAACATTACTTCAATTTTTTTTCCTGGGGCGTTCTGGTGAATTGTCACTCAAATAAAAATTGACAGCAATCTAAAAATGAGCGTTGAATCTCTCTCAACCTAAAAAGATGCTATATCACTTATGTTGTTTATAAAGTCTTGTAAATGTAGAGAGCATTTTTAAAAAACTGAACTCTAACATGATGTTTCTGACAATATGTCTTTTATAACCTTATTTGTAGAAAGCCAAATTTATCAGATGTAATCTTCAGATTTTTTGACTTATACAGTATGTCCCCGGATTGAGTTTACAAGAGGTGAAAAATTTTTATCTTTAATTTTACGACAAAACTGAAGAAAAACATTTTTTGCTTCACCTAAAACGAGCAAATCTGTAATTAAAACTTCATTATTTCAATTCAGTAAAAAGAAAAGTTKATTTTTCTTTTGATTTTGGACTTTAGTTCGTTTCTTAGTAAAGCTAACCCGGCAAATTCAAATTTTGATTTTTCGACAGCCGTTTCCGCCTAAATGGACTTAATTGGAGAATTGACAAAAATGTCGATAAGATAGCCCTTTTCGAGCACCACACGTTCCATCAATCAGTTTTTGATTTCTGTTAATCCTGCAGCTGGAAGAAAATAAAAATTAATTTTCTATGTCAATTTCCTATATCCAAGCCTGCCTAGGACACCCGCCGGTATTTGTCAAATAAATAAAACCACTAATGTAATAGAATTTTTTTGCTTTTTAAGTCCTAACACATTGGCGGTTTTATTTTTTTGATAACTATATGTCACTTTAACAATTAATTTATTAATTAAATAATGACAGTTCCTGTTAAAAGTGACTTTGGTTTTTATCTTAAATATATTTCTTTGAGTTGCTAATTAGCAACTTTAATTTTAATAATTATTAAAATTATGTTTTTCACAAACAATTTTGTTATTTAACTTGCGTAAACTCARTTGTCAAAGTGACATCATTGTCAAATGTGATAGGACTTAAAAAGCAGAGAAAAATAAACTTTTTTTACTACTGAGTTAGAATAATGAAGTTTTAATTACAAATTTGCTGGTTTCAGGTAAAGCAAAAAATGTTTTTCCTTTGCAGTTTTGCTGTAAAATCAAAGATAATTTTTTTCCTCTTGTAAACTCGATTATAAAAAACAAATGACCCTGAAAAATTTGAAAAATCGTCGTGACATTAGCGTGCGCATGCTGTTCTTTTCAATTGCACCACCACTCAAATAAATGGAATATACACGGTTTGCGAAGATGAGATGAGTGGGGTAGTTCTTCGAGGAAATAAATCTTTTCTGTGTATAAAACGCTTTCAAAAGACCTGTCGCTCCCCGGAATTTTATAATAATTCTTTTCCGGATTCTTAAAAATCTACTCCGGAAATAGATACTTGTACAGATAACTCATCTCTGTGAGAGAGTGAAGCGAATTTCTATGTAATAATAATGAACCGTAACGTTGGTAGTCTAAAATTCTCGTCGAGAAGAGAGAGGGTCCAAGATCCTATTTTAAAATGATGTTAAGAGACTCAAGCCAAATTGTTGCTGCTTTAGGAAACTTTATCCCAGATTTAAGCTAAAGTGTATTTACCAATTTTATTAAAGGGTTGTTTTAATTACACGAATAATATTGTATACAGCGTGTTCGTGTCGGTGTTGAACAACACGCCCTTTTGAAAGCACACAGAGAGTCTGTAATAACGTCCTGACATGGAGTGGTGCAAGCCATGAGCATCGAAATCGGATTTTCGATGGATTCGTCGGATCAATTATTGACAATCGGCCGGGATAAAGGGATAGGGTGTACAGTTCGCATGCTAATGTCACGGATATGCAGGACTGCGTGCGTGTCTGTCTCCCATCCTGCCGACAATGGACTCTTGTTCTGCACAACAACTGTCAGGTGAGAGACAAGCACTCGATGTTAATCCGTTGTGACGTGCAATTTGCGAACCCTCCACGAGAAGGCACAAATCCTATACCAGGTCGAAATGTTCCTGGTGTTTGTCACACGGGACAATTGACAGGACACGGGAAGCGCACACAACGGTGATTAAATACTGCAACACGCAATTAATCAGCAATAGTACTATTAATCAATAATGCACGACAAAATTCGACGGGCCTTGTTCAGCGCTAATCCATTTCAATGGCATTAACGATGGTTTTCCGCCGAAATTAGTCTTCAGCTTATCAATGCCAGAGACAATGACTCCAAATCCAATGGTCGCAGCTCAACAGTTAAATCTATTCAAGTGGATTGATTGATAAATGATGCGCTCGGATTACGATTGAGGTCTGGACATTATCACTAATTCGGCAGGTTTTTTCGACATGGATTATCATGACAAATTTTAGCCATAAGAACATATCAATTTCAACCATATAACTACTCAACTATAATCAAATTAAGGTGTTTTCAACTCCACAATTTAAAAATGGAAATAAGGTAAATTAATTAAGAGAAGAGTAATTCCATAAGAAAATGATCACTTTTAAATATCATTGTGTCCGCGTTAAAATAATAGCTATTTATGTATCAAGTACGCAAAATTGGGTTTTAGGGGACGAATCGTAATTAATGACCAGGCGACGTAGAAGCCGAGTCTTTAATGAGAGGAGTCACCTAAAACCTTTTGCCTACGTGGTGCATACAAGATTTTTTAAAATAACCGTTTTGCGTACTATTTTATTGAGTCTGGAAAACACTCATTTTAGGGACTTAAATGAGGGAGCATAAATGACATCATTCTGTTTTATGTACCTACTACTATATTTGGAAGAACAAGGTTTTTCAAAATTAAGTACTTCATAGTAAAAAAATATCTAAAAACAAATCAACATATTGAAATATTTTTTTATGTTCCACTTGTCCATTATTGATTCTTTTCCTCTGTAATACGCGCTATACAAGCCTCTGTTCATTATGGCCTAAGGCTATGATAACGCTCGCTAATTAGAGGTTTTTGCCAGGATACTTTACTTGTTTCTCAGGATACTGCATATTCATTAGCTACTACACTTGATAATTTGTATTATTTATTTTGATATTGTCAAATATTTTTTTTAAATTTCAGTTAAAACATAAAACGTGATATGTACCATGGGCATTATCTATCTGGTGTCTATGGTCCTTAGACGAGTTACAAGAGTCTCGGGACGGAGGCCCTCGTCCTTGCAAACCTGTTGCTATCGGAGGTCATCTACATCTTCATAATGTCCTTAATATATATTAGTACACTACACATAAAGGGAGAAAAATGCACGATTAGTTTTTAGGTGTCGTTTATAGTCAGAAGGCGAAGCCCGAAGACTATAAAACACACACCAAAGGAATAATAGCCTTCCTATCTAGAGGTGTATATACAATTTTGTGGATAACTTGATATATAAAAAAAAAACAAAGAAATTGGCTGTAATTATTTAATAAAATTTACAAATTTGCATAAAGCTGGTATTCTTTGCAATTACACCATGATAACAATAGAAATGTTAGTTGACAATAAGCCTATAAAGTATGGGAATGACATAGTAACAAATAGTTGCTCCCGTCGTTAAGTTCTCTCCCCCGGGAGAGAACTTTGACTTCTGTCACAGTTTTGATACAAAAAAAGTTGATTTCTACTCTCCGTTGTGCAAAAATTACTATGTAATATGCAGGGTGATCTTTGTAGGGCTTATTTTAAAACTTTTCAAGTTCCAATGTAGTTCCGGCTTTGAAATTTTTTATGCATCGAAAATCGATCATTCTTAATTTAAATAAATTATTTTCAAAATGGCAAAACTTCCGGAACTATGAGATATTGGCGCCAACTTTGAAATTTTAAATGCGCTTTTAAATTTGCTTCTTCAAACTAAATAAAACGTATCCGAAATTTATTAATTTTTTTGCTTTGATAATCAAAGGTTTGAAGAATCTTCTAAAGTAGCTCAAGATTGTCAACACAATAAACACAAACAAAACGTGTTATTAAACCGATTTAAAGATAAAAAATTCTTCGTGGTAACTGATGAACAATTCTGACAATAAGTGTTTAATTTTTTATTTAATACTATATTAACCAAATGGAAAAAATTCTTGGTACATCATAATAATATTCAGGGTGTTTTTTTTAACGAACTACCATGCATATCTCAAAATAAATAAAAAGTAGAAAATCCCAAAACAGGTCAATTCATAATTTTTTGCCATTTGATTACTGTTACTCATCGCACGACGCGACGTTCGTGGCTACGCCACTCGTTTTCTAAACTTGAATTTGTGCTTCAAAACTTGTTTTTTAATATAGTATTTAAATTTTATTGCTGGTTTTGATCTCTCCGGAAATTGTTGCAAGAACGATAATTAAGTATTTACGTTACGGTTTCCAGTTTTTAAAAATAAATACAACGTGCAAGTTTTATACCAGGTACATATTTAGGTAGCTTGAACCTGAGAATTTTTTATCTAAATATTTCTAAAATTTTCAACAATCAGAAATTCAAAAACACACCTCGACCTCTTTTTTCTTAGAGTATATTTCTGTTTCTGCGACTGTCGCAATTATGTCCATCAGCAATGTCATACAGTTTGTGAGTAACTCAATTACGTATAACGAATCAGTCAAAATTTCTCCTCCGGTATAGGAATAGTAATCATCTTTACGTTCCGCCCGTAATTTAATTAAGAAAAACGAGATCCTATGTTCCCCGAACTGTTTGAGTGATTAACGCCTCCTTTGTCGGCGTCTGTTCCAAGATCGAACGAGCACCGGTAATAGAGCAGGTGGTGCGTCGCGACGCACAATCGCTTTATATCCCACCCCTCTTCATCTTCCCGTCGACCTTATGTAGATTCCCGTGAACCTGCACAGCCGAAATTAACGGAAAAACTCGAGCAAATCCACGCAAATTTAAAGCCGACCGAGGCTGTTTTTTGTTTTCCTGTTTCGTCGGCAAAAGAAGAAGCGGAAGGCGGACTCGGAACGTGTCCCGAATCGAAATTTGAATAAGCGTTGACAAATCCGAATCGATCACCATCAGGAGGTGAGTGTTTCAGACGTTAGTTTCTAATTTTAATAAAAGGTAAATTAGGATGGTATTAATTCAAGTCAAACTTACCCCGTTTAAGGTTTTCACATTGTGTAAAGCGTCCTGCGCCTGAAGAGCTGCCTTCCTTGTAAAGAACGTCACGAAGCAACAACCTGAAATAACACCACCTAAAGTTAGTTTCATTGTTCTAATAACACAATGGGCTGTGTTATGCATAAAGATGACAGGGCCTGAAGCGTCTATCTTGCGCCTGTCAACAATAGCTGAGGCGTCATAAAGTTAGTTACTTTTAAAGTTATTGTCTAATCTGCTTGCCAGTGACAAAGACAAAAATAATTATTGTTATGATATTTCTAAACCTGAGACTTAAAAAGCCCAATCTCCGCTTTCATCGATTTTGAGATATTTCCAACACTGAAATTCCCGAGTTCATTTCTGTCGATACAAAAAAGGCCAATCTCCTGCTGCTAATGGTACATGTTATACCATTTCAAGTGAAGGACTTATATCTAAGAACTAAGAACTTTTAAAACTTAATTAATATTAAATTAATATCTCAGAACAATGAAAATGGAGATTTGTCTTTTAAAGACTCAGGTGCAGATTTATGTCAAACAAAATAATACATCATAAGAAACAAACCCAATACCCTATTTGTAACAAGGGGAAATCACGATACTGGGTGAAACATAAAAACTCAAGAACTGTTGATGTCAAAAAAATTACTTATATCTACTGTAATATTTAGTTTACACAAAGCCATTTTGCTAAAAGTCAATAAAATAAGTTTTTACTGCTACTCCCTCTCAAGAAACATCAGAACTCAAATACCATAATTATTATTTTTTTGATTAAAAAAATTAAATTATAGGAGAAAGTCATAGGCAGATTTTGTGTAACTACCGAAATAGAAAAAACAGTTGTCTATAAATTGTCATTAACTGACACTATTTAAAATAATATTTGTCAAAGATGTTAAAATTTGAAATTTTATACAGTCAAGTTTAAAGTTCTGACATGTTTTACGTACTTCGTTAATTGCTGATGTTTTCCTATATTTTTTTTTTATTTTAACTCTATATAAAAGTACTCAAATAAATTAGGATGATAAAGATTAAATTACAATACAACTACACAACAACAGAAATAATGCTAGTAATAAAATTAGTTTATCAAAAATCTTATTAAATTTTAAATTCTATTATCTGTCTTTCAATTATGGTTAAAATAAAAGCATTGATTTCCGCAATAGACTGAACTCCATTTGCCTGCATGAATACAGTCATTAATATTAAAGTTATCACTTTAGAACAGTTCATATAACATTCTATATGGCTTTAAAAGTGAACAATGTTGCACAATAACCGTTAAAATATGGATAAACACAGTAAATTACTTCACGATAAGTAATAAAAATGACGTTGCATGTTGTAAATGTTCAAAATTAACTTAAACAGTAATTTTTAAGCATTTATCGCTGTATTACGAATCTACTATAAACTCTACCCTAAACCATTTTGCATGCATTGAAAAACTTTGCGAAAACACTTCAACAAATTGCTCCTTAGCCGGGATCCCAGCAAGTCGGAAAAAAATCCTTCCTATTATTAATCATCGCTCTTAAAGACGATCGTATAAATTAAATTACTGTCAACTTTGGACGTATGCCAAGCTTTTAAAATTTATTGGATGCATAACGCTTTTTTATGACGATTATCAGCCGAAATAAATCGTTTCCCACGTATTCAACATAAATGTAAAAGTAGAATCCGCGAAGCGGCAATTACTTCGTCCTTCGCCACTTTCAAAAGGGTTGTGATTTTTTGTCGCCGCCGCAGCGCCGTTTTAAAGTAATTAAACGCAGAACGTGCCCCGTTTCGTACCACCTAAAGGGCATATTATCAGGACTTTGTTCGCGCCAGCCCTATTAGACGTCGAAATCCCTCGTCGAGTTCAGGCGTCAACGGACGCATTGATGATTCTTCACCGGCCCGAGGCAGGGCCGTAACGAACCGGAATTGATCCACAGGGACCGGAAGGGTTTCGCAAAGGGTTAAAGGGATCATCAGATTTTTAATTTGTCGTAAAAGATGCAAAATCATCGTATTGCTGGAGATGGAAGCACTGATAAAAATCTTGGAATGGATTTAATGAAAATGTCATCTGGTTATTTAGTAGCATCTGACAACGGCAAACGCCAACCGATAGGTCAATGGATAAAGTACCATTTAAACGGAACAAAACACAACACTAATAATGCACCTGTTTGAAACACTATTAATAACAACTATCTGGGCAGGATGCAGAACACTCTGGACCTGRTCGGGCTGTTAATTTGTAGACTGGTGTTGCAATMGCGACACTTGCCAGTAACTGAAAAATTAGCAACACGACCGAGGTTTACGGCATGTTAGCTGTACAGATGGGATCATTACAAAGTTATGTCACTGAAAAATTTTTGGCACTAGCAATGGAAACTAATTTCGAGATGTAATCCGACATTTTTGTAGGAACTTGGTGATCCTTATATTTTACATTTTTCATTCCATTTCTCGATCACTTCAGAGATACAGCTCACCACGGGATAGATTAACTAATAATACTAACAAAGGGACTAGACAAACTTTTTACAATCAAGATTTTCTGTACTCCATTTCTTCAGCAGACTAAAGTTGCAATATAATGCCGGTGTGTTGGATTTTATTTCATTAAAAAAGGCCAAATCCATATTCTATTTATGATTCACGTGATAAATCATCGTTGTCCGAATTTTTAGTTGTAATATTTTTGTAAACAACAAGAAAAATTGCATCCTTTTTCATTCTTATAACATAGCCATTATTACGAGTATAATTTATTCCTCGACGCTGTCAAAATTTACGGTTTTTCTCCTGTGTAAAGTTTTGGCATTTCTCAATACTAAACGGCAGATTATTTTTAACAGATTTAAAGCAATCTTAAGCCTTTTTGAGTCTAATTCAAAGAATAAAATGTTGTATTCAAATCGTCTTTGTGTAAATCGGTTCGTTTATTCCACCAATAGTGGATGATAAACCACTCGTAAAATAAATCGTTTMATTTAAACTCAAACTCGTTGAATAAATAACTATATTTCACCTAATTCTTGAAAGAATTTTATCAAATTAACTRTAAAACAATAGTTTAACATCTCCAGGTACCATTTTGTACAATCCTGAAAATCTGTAGTCAATTAAATTAGAACATTTTTAAAGCTTTTGAGTACCATAAATTATTTTGATTTATGCAGCGTTTCTCAAAAATAAGTTACAATACAAACAAGTGTTTTTTTTAAATGAAACACCATATGTTTCTTAGCGTTTTTGGATATAGATTTTTATGACAATGTTTTTAAGGCTAAACTTTTATTGGTCGATTTTGCTTAGTTTTAAAAATAAGACGTTTTTTTGACGAAAACATGCATTTTTTTAAATTTATTACACAGAAACTAAGACATCTAGAAATTTTTTTTTACTACCGCTATGAAGAAAGTACAAGCTATAAGGTTGTTAAATTTTTTTAGTGTGTGCATTTGCAAACATAAAAAAATAAAGGCGTTTGTTAAAAGTTTAACAATCCTATTTATTGTTTTAAGGTTAGGTGGTAGAGTAGAAAATCCACCTGAGAACCACCTGAACCTCGCCCTATTGTACAACTTGTATGTAACAATAAAAGCCAAAGCCAGTTATTATTATTATTATTAATATTGTTATTATTATTTAAAAGATTATTAAATTGTCTTTCTAAAATTATTTAATTTTGGGTGTTTATAATCAATAATTAGAAAGATATTTAACGTTAACATTAAAATAAATAATTACTATTGTTTCAGTAGCCAAAAAGTGCACAGTTGCACAAGAGCTGGAAGAAATATCACTGAATGATGACATTTGTGTTAAACTGAATCCATTACTCTTTATTTTTACAACAAAATAATTCGAATTTCAGTATTTATAACGACTTTTACAATATCTGGATAAATCCACGGATAAGTGATCAGTGGTGGAATTACTATGGCTGCCATTGTATCAACAATGCTCAGATATTGATAGGCATTGTTGCTACAATTAATATTGAATGTTAAATATCTTTTCATTTATCAATTCTAGACATTAAAAGTTAATTTTTTTAGATTGACAATTTATCAATCTATTAGATGCAAAAATAAAAAATAGGGTGTCCCTTTAAAATTTTTTTAAGATATTTAACTTTTAACAAACTTCTTATGTCTTATGTCTAAAACTAAGCGAAATCGACTAATAAAAGTTTAGCGTAAAAAACATTGTTTTAAAAGGCTAAGAAACATACGGTGTTTCATTAAAAAAAAAAACTGGCATTTTTTATTGGCGATTAACAATTTGATATAAATTTTAAGTAATTTAGCATTTTAAAAAAAGCATGTTAGAATCACATTTTAAGAGCTAGGTTTATTTCAGTAATGGGATATCTCTACCTAATACTCTACATTTTCAATTCGTTGGTAAATAACAGAGATATTGTATCCGAACGTTTTAGGTGGGGCACCCTGTATAATCATCATCCACGCCAAAATAAATATCAAAACGGTAAAAAGTAATTTACGTTTAACAATAAAAGAAAAAACTGCGCATGCAACTACCGTTTGGGTCAGGGCTTTGCAAACAGTTCAAACTCGATGTAGATATGCGATTCCCACAACTTGTAGCTTTCAAATAACAATGAAATTCAGATTAGGGTTAAAACTTCTACAATAATAGGTAGGACTCGCAAAAAACAACTATTAAAACACGAAACTGGTGGTCGAAAATCTTAAAAAAATCTGTTTGAACTCGCGCCAGGATAAATAGAAGCTACTTATTCAATACCTATGTGTTTTATAAAGTTGAGCTACTTTTGTAAAGAAATGCCAGTGTTATATTGTGCAAAGTAAAAATTTATACGCTGTTACAAAACCTTGTCAATTAACATTAATTTTCATGTGACAAGAAAGAAACAAATAAATTTTGTGTACACATTTTGTAATAACGGATGCTGTGACAGCAAATAGTATTGTCTATGTCATTAACTTCTTTCGAGTTCTTAATGACTCTGTCATTTTGAAAAAACTGACCTACCCTAGACATTTGATATAAATATAAATGTCCTCCTTGGAGAG